AAATGGCCATGTTCATTAACTGGTGCTCACAGACATTTCCGTCTTCCTGTCTGAATCCCATGATTTCCATGGATTGCATTTCATCCCTGTGTCCATCTGCTATTGTCTGAGCTCCTCTGGCAACTTATGCCTTTCAATATTTTCTCAAACTTACCATTCTTCTAAAATAATCATGGTGGCTCTTCAATTCCCATCTTGCTCTAACCAGTGGGAAGAGTGCTCACCCTTCTGAGTTCAGGAAGTGTTTGTTTTTGAATGCTTGAGACCTATGGGGTCTACTGTCTGGATTGTGATCTCCGAGGTCCTCTTTCTCATCAAAGTCTTTCATTCTTGTGCTTAGGGTCGATTTCTTCTTACCCATCTGTCTCTCCTTTCATCTTTTTCAATAATAAGTGGTGAGTATTTTCTTAGGAAAGGATGAATGGATAAATAAAAGATGAGATGAGAACCCCACCTCCTTAGGGATTAAGATACCTACATGCACAAACACTGCTAACAGCACGTTTCCAGTTGCAGATCTCTGCTTGAATCTGGCTGGGAATGCCTGGGCAAATGTGGTATTTACTCCCATGTCTCACTGTATTCAGAACGGGGACGGGCTCGTGTCCCCGGGTACTGTACCAATGGGAGACAGCGGATGCAAGATCCTTGAAGCTCCATTTCTGCTCTGCCTGGGATCTAGATGAGTCTACATGGCCTGTATAACCTCTGGGACACTCAAAGTCTTCTCCTCAACTGGATTATTCCTGAACTTTCTGGTTTCAAAGAGAAAAAAAAATCCCAGAATACTTGTGCTTTCTAATCATTGTAGCTAATGACTAGCTACACAGAGCAATAGCTCTCTCTCTCTCTGTATGTCTTTCTCTCTCTGTGTGTGTGTGTCTGTCTTTCTGTGTAAGAGTATATGTGTTTGTGTGAATGTCTCTGTGTGTGTCTGTGTATATATCTCTGTCTCTGTGAGTGCATGTCTCTGTGTGTGTTTGTGTGTATGTCACTCTGTGTGTGGGTGTGGTGTCTGGGTGTATGTTTCTCTGTAAGCATGAGTGTGTGTGTGTGTCTGTGTGTATGTCTCTGTGTGTGTGTATGTGTGTATCTTTCTGTGTGCATCTGTGTGTATGTTTCTCTGTGGTGTGTGTGTGTGAGTGTGTGTGTGTGCGTGTGTTCATGTGAAAAGGACTTGTGAGTGTTGTGACTCTTAAACTGGAACCTGATAATGGGACAGAGGCTGAGGGATGAGAGGCTTGCCACGGAAACCAGGAGGAAGATGTCCTGGTTCATTTTGTTGTGACAAACTGGGAAATCATAGGAATAATAATAATAATAATAATAATAATAATAATAATAATAATAACAACCATGTTAGAGGTTACAAAGTCCAAGGTTGAGGGGAGGTACTTGTCTATGGACTTCCTGACACTGGGGATTTTCACGAAGTCTGAATGCAGTGCTGGACAACCCATGTGATATACAGCACCTGGGTTTTATTGTCAGAGCCACCCCCCCCTACAACTCATTCATCTGTTAGTCCACTGATCTATGATCCCAAGGTCCTGGCCCCAAACACCAACACCACGTGACTTTGAGGACGTAATACAATCCCAAGGGCCGGACATCCCAAGAAAAGTGGGAATCTGAAATGTAAGGTGGGGCCCATCAGAGATGGCTTAGGCGTCAAGCCTTAGCCCACAGGGAAGGCAATGCAGAGTAGTGGTGTCAGAGTCTAGGCTGGGATGGCGGTGGCGGTGGGCTCACCTGGGTGGGCCTTCACTTCTCAGAGGGTTGCTCTCATTGTTTTTAAAATGGAGGGGTGGCCTACCTTAAAATATCATGAAGAAAATATGATACATATGAAAATACTTTTTGTGGAAAAATGACAAGTGGATTTTGCAAAGCATTGGTCCTATTTTCAAAAACAAAGTGAAGAGCAAAATAATAGTTCTAACTCTAGAGCCATGGATGTGATGAGGCTTTTGAATGGGCATCTGGACCAAGCTATTGTAAGACTGGTATGTAATTATAAACAAAACAAAAAACACAAAACACCTACCAAGGCTGAAGAGATGGGCCAGCTGCTGCTAATGATGCTACTCTTGCAGTGGACCTGAGTCCAGAATCCATGTCAGGCAGCTCACAAGCACCCAAAACTCCAGCTCCAGGACAGCTGATTTTGGTGTCCTCTTCTGGTCTCTGGAGATACTGGCACTCTGTGCACATGCCCACATACAGACATGCAGACATATACATAAAAACAAACATACTAACAAAAACCTGGCAATCACAGCGAGCCAGCGTCCACACAGTATGGCTCCTTCTGTTGAGAGGGTAGCTTGGCTCACCCAGAAAATTCACTAGAAGGCCTGGATCTTAATGAGGTCATTGGCAAGACTCTTTCCCCTAACAGGCTGATGAACAAGATTGGGAAAATGTCAACAGTAGAAACTAGTAATATGTTTTACTAATTTAGAAGCAAGTTGTATATCCATGTCCCCCATGTAATGACCTGAGGAATCATGTCAGTACAGGTGCACGTGGTTTCTAATGACACATGACCAAGTTCTGTCTTGCTCAACACTCCAAGAGGAGCTTAGAGGGATATATTCAAGGTCTGTTTATGAAATATGCAAATAGTGGGGTGATGGGGAGGGAAATTAATACTTGGCAATGGGAGCAGGATTAAAAAAAACAATTATTTAGCTAATGTGAAGGCTTTGATGATAAACATTATTTATCTCACAATGAGTTTTCAGAACATGGCTATCCATGCATCCAAATTACAAACACACCCCACCCCTCTGTCTTGGCTTCCCAAGCTTCTTGAAATACTCTGCTGCCCCTGGCACAGAACCAGCACCATAGAAGCAGAACAAAGCCAGAGAGAGCCCTCCTTCTCAAAGCCTGAACTGTAAAATTAACAGAGGAATAAAAAACAGCTGGCGAAACATGATAGCTGTGATTCTGTGCCCGTGAACCTGAAAAGATAGCTTATTGTAGAAGACAAACAAAATCTGTGTTCAGTTTGATCTAGCCCAGCATCCACCATCAGAAGCCGTCCGTTTGCATTTAGAGTGTCCTCGGGTTGGGGACGGGCATTACAGACATCCTAAACAAAGAACAGAAAGGATCACTTTCCATCTTAATTTGACAGTAAACAGTACTAATTTGACGCTGTAGCTGTTTGTTGATATGTGGGAGTTGGGGCAGGGGTGGGGCCTCGCTACTCGCTGGAAAGAACAGTAGCCAGTGTGTTGGGGCTGCATCGCTCCTTAGATGGTAGGAGCCAGGCTGTCTTGATTCTCTCCATGTTAGAACACAATGTAAATTGCAGCTCATGTGGTTTCCATCTGGCAGCAGGACCAGCCATGGGAGCCCCTAGCCTTCAGCCCCCAGAGAAGGTTTTCTGTAGTGGCTTCATCCAGATTTGTCTTAGGAACCGCCAATGGCCTCCCTGTCAATCATTTATCATTTTACAGAAAGCAGGTCTGGCCCAAGGCAAGACTCTTTATTCACTCACTCGCTGACTCATTTTACAAATGTTTGGTGAGTGCTACTATGTGCCAAGAGCTGAACAATGGATTGGAGGTAAAAAGATGAGGATTAGCCTGGCATCTGTGATCTTCATTTCTGAGCTAGATAGAAAGCTGCACACAGGTAAGGATAACACAAGAGTGGAGGTATCCCAGGGAACCAGGAAGACGGGCTGGTTGAGCTCCCATGAGTGTAAGCTATGAAGCGGCCACATAGAGCTGGGCTAAGAGTATCATGGAATGGATTCAAAATCTATGGCTCCTTCCTTCTCTCCCTCTCTTCCTTCTCTTCCTTCCTCCACTTCTCTCTTTGCCTTCCTCCACTCCCTCCCCCCTCCTTCCTTCCTTTTCTAGGTGATCCTACTAAGGACAAAGGTTCCAGATGCTTTGGCAAAGTGTTTCCCATGAATTATGGCCATCATTCCTCCTGACCACTATCTCAGTCATTGATGTGAACAATCTTTCTGTACACTGTGTGAATGCGTGTCACTATGATTGGCTTAATAAACAAGCTGACTGGTCATTAGTGGAACAGGATAAAGTTAGGTGGGAAAGCCAAAAAGAGAAAGATGGGATGAGGAAGGGTGGAGTCAGAGGAGTTGCCAGCCAGATGGAGAACGAGTCAGGCACACAAAATGGGATAATGGAAGCCACAAGCCTCGGGGCAGCACATAGATGACTAGAAATGGGTTAAGTTGTAAGAGCTAGTTAGTAACAAGCCTGAGCTATTGGCCCAGCATTTATAATTTATATTGTCACCGAACCAGTTATTTGGGAAACAGCTGCCTATTGTTTGGGAGCAGGCAATCCATTGGGACAGGAAAACTCCACCTACAAGTCATCACTACGGCCATCATCATCTTGCCAACAAAGAGACTATAATATACAGGTTGTGAATCTGGCCTGGGGCTGTGCAACTCACAAGCTAGGGAGCCAGGAGCAGAACCAACAGCCCCCAGGTAGCATGGTTTTTATAAGACTGTTTCTATTTGATGTGTGGAGAGATGATGGGTCTCAGCAGGTCCTCACAGACACCAATCATTGCTGCCATGTTATGCTCATTGATGTTTCTCAGTGAACATATCTATTCTGGTAGTTTACTACAAATTCCATCTCAACTGTCTATAGCATCTCAAACTCCAATTTGGATGATGCTTGGGGTCTTGAAATAACAAACAGGATATTGTGGGTCATGTTTAAAGTATATTTTGGGGGATAGGGAGTGACTAAATTTCCAGAGGACCAGATTTCAGTTCCCAATATCTAAGTCCAATAGCATGTAGCCACCTAGATGGAACCCCAGCTCCAAAAGCTCCAATGTCCTCTTCCTGCATTCACTGGCAAACCCTCCCACACACAAATAAAAATAATTTAAAAAAATAATATTTGTTAGGCATTTGCCACACTCCAAGATCAACAGCAGAATCTGTCTTTACTTGGAGGCAAACATCCATTAAGGCATCCCTCTGACATTACCTGATTCTTGCCAGGAGCAGCTGTCCACCTTCCAAATCCAAACCTTAAATACAATCCCACAGCATTTCCAGTAATTTTTGAAGACATCTTCGATCAAATCAAAGAGAACAGTAAGAGTAAGTGGTTTATAGAAGAAGAAAGTCCCTCCCATGTTCAGTTGAATACTGCGCCATTTTAATGCTTAGATTTTCATTTTTCTTCCTTTTAGATGCAATTGAATACCCGTCTTTAAGTTCTATTTGGCCCGGCCAAACAAAGCATTCTATTTAGAAAATGGAACACACTGTTCAGCCAACATCTCTCCATTTCACTTAAGGGAAGAGAGAAGCAGTGTGCTTGTGACTCCCCAGTTAGTTTTTGCAGTTGCTTTACCCATGGAATGGTGAGCCATGCTTATAGTGAGTTCTGGAAGGCGGCATGCAAGTATTTACAAACATGTTTGCAATGTAGCCCCTATAGGTGCAGGGACCCACCATGGGTGTGGTTTTTATGTCTATAAGATGATCATCATTTGCTGCACGCACACAGAATGTGTGGTACCCAGTGCTGAGCATCAGTGAAGAAAATGACCGGAAGCTCAGCCTCCCAGATTCCATGTCCTTTCACAGAGTACAGAGTGGAACATGCTTATCCCGGTGTGACACACACCTCTGGATTTCCTGGTCATTTGTTAATATTTTTTCCTTAGAAACAAAAAGTTTGAAACATTTGGTCGCTTTATGTTCCACTATAAATATGAGATAGATATACATTTATGTGTAGCTGTATGTATGGCTGTCACCTATGTGTATGCATATATATGTTGCATAAACTGACATCAGTTTGTTACAGGCCCACTAGGGTATATTCAAGAAGCTTTTTACAGACAGACAGCAAACAGCACAACACCCTGGCTCCACCACCTTTAGCAAAAAGCACATGTATGATTTCTTGTAGAAATAGCAGAGATAGAACACGTGATGTTAATCTTGAGTTCTTGGCTATATGTAGAATTAACTAGGAGGCAATTAAGAGGGGCAACAGAGAGGTTTAATTGAGGTAGGAAACTTCATCCTGAGTGTGGATGGCTCCACCCTGTGTGCTGGGTCCTATAGTGAATAAAAAAGGCAAGTGGGAAAAAAGAATCTCTCTCTCTCTCTCTCTCTCTCTCTCTCTCTCTCTCTCTCTCTCTCTCTCTCTCTCTCACCATGACCAAGCTATTCATGCTTCTGCAATGACACAGTCCATCCACCATGATCAATCCATGATCCCAAATAAACCCTTATTTCCTGAACTTGTTTTTTTTCCCCCTGGGGGGGGGGCGGGATCAGGTATTTTGTCACAGAAAGAGAAAACAAATTAAAATAGATCATCTTCAGGTTGAATGAATGGCTCAGTGACATTATGAAAAACCCAGGTTCTTCCCATATCTTTACTCTGCTATCCGCAGAGTAGGCTCAGTATTTAAGTGTGTCTGTTGATGGTGACAAGATGTTCAGAGCAGCTCGACTGTGTCTTACTCAGATAGAACCATAACTGGGGAAGATGATCTCATTTCTTTCTTGTGGCTCTTTTTAAAAACAAGGAGAACTGCGGATGGAGAGATGGCTCAGTGGTTAAGAGCACTGGCTGCTCTTCTAGAGGACCTGGGTTCAATTCCCAGCACGAACATTACAGTTCACAACTGCCTGTAACTCCAGTTCCATGGAGTCTCATACCTTTGTACCAATGCACATACAATAAAATTAAACAAATTAAAAAAATAAAAAAATAAGGAGACCTTTCCCCATCACCCAAGGACACCTTTCACAGAATGCTCAAAATAGCATTCCATTTTATTCTACCACCGACCATTGACAGAAGGAATGGAGCAGCCATTGTTAGCTTAGCCCAACCTTAGCCATCTCAGAACACATCCTTCCATATTCATGGTCCTGAAGAAGAAGGAGGAGAAGAAGAAGAAGGCCGCACACATTGGGATTTGATGGTCAAGGATTTGGGGTGTGGACCTACCAACAGCATGTGATAAACAGTCATGCCTGGTCTCTCTTGTCTTCTTACAGCCTGTTTCAAAGGAAGTGAGGGGTTGCGAGGCTCAGTCAGTAAGGTGTTTGCCATTCGAGCACAAGGACCGGGGTTTCATCCTCAGAATAATCTGAAAAAAGCTAGGCACGGTAATACATACTTGAAATCCAAGCAATGAGGAGGTGGAGACAGGCAGATTCCTGGGTCCCATTGTATCCCACGTAGCCTTGGATCAGTTACAGGCGAGTGACAGATCCTGTCTCACAAAGCAAGGGAGATGATGCCTGAGACAAGACGCCAAGGTTGACCTCTGGCTTCTACATACGTGTGCACAGGCATGCATGGGCATCCCAGCTCCATGTGCACACACATGATCAAACACACAAGAAAATGAGTGGAACTTTACAACCCCCAAAAGCACAGGAGAAAGTGGAACACTTAACTGTTTGTTCAAGGCCACCTGGAACATAATGACAGGTGAAGATTCCAACCCCGGTGTATCAGCTTTTTGTCCATTGTTCTCTGCATAGCATTATCCACTTCCTGGGTCTTGGCATGACTAGTGAGTCAAGCAGAGTAAAGCCAGTTTCTCTACTCATGGCTGAGTTTCTCCTGCCTCTGGGAGGCTTCTGAGTAATTAAACAATTTCCTCCCACAGGCATTTGACAAACCTTGATTGGATCCAATTATTTAATTTTGTATTTGTAAAACTGAGGCTCACATGTTAAGCCACTCAAGCTGGATGAAACAGTCCTTCCAGTTCACTACGCCCTCTAGTGGTTGCACCTGAACGCTGCTAATGAAACGGAGGGGCTTGAGTGCCCAGCTGGTGCTGACCTGGAGCCTAGACTCTTCTGATGGCTAACAGGGCAGAACACAGGTGTAGCTCACAGGCTAACAACCTGACCTGCATGCAGCTCATTCATTTTTGCTCTGAGTTTCTTTAATGCAATGTAAAAAATTCCCGGGAGCTGAGGAAAGTCACCAGCTTCATACCTGTGTAAAATTTAGTTAATCAGATTCCTTTTTGTACTTAGCTGAGAGTACTCCCTGTGCACGACGGGACTTTTTGATTACATAGAAGATTCATTTGGGGGATGTTTAAGGGAACTAAAAATAGATGCCTAGCGAGTGAATGCCTCGTCTAGATTTTCATCAACTTGTCACAAGGCAGGGAGATTTGGGAAGAGGAACTTTACCCCAGAAAATGTCACTGTCAGACTAGCCCATACACAAAATTGTAGAGCATTTCCTCGTCATTGGTGTGGATGGGCCAGGTCCAATGTGGGCAGTGCCTCTGCTGGGCAGGTTGTCCCAGCTTGTATAAGAAAAAGCAGACTAAGCAAGCCAAATGGAGTATGCTAGTAAGCAATGTTCCTGCACGGTCTCTGTTTTGTTAGGTTCTGCTTCCAGGTTACCATCTTGAGTTCCCATCCCAACATCTCTCAATGCCGGACTATAAAGTGTAAGCCAAAATAACCCCTTCCCTCCCCAAATTTCTTTTGGTAATAGTGTCTACCACAGCAACAGAAAACAAACTGAGACTGGGCATGCCCAGAAGATGGCATGACACTTGGAGTTGAACCATTCATTCTTGCTGGGACTCTTGTTAGATATTACACTACTGAACAGGGGAGGGGTTGGATATGGATGTCCCTGTTAGCTCCTAAAAGCTTTGTCCTCATTCAACTGTAGTCATCTATGGCAATGAGTCTGGGCCCCTGCTAACTGAGAACCCTGCTTTGGACACAAAATGGAAACTCTGGGATCTGGGGACGGTGTGAGTGCCAGGTGGTCCCTCAGTCAATGAGAACATCCGCTGGCTTCTCTGCTCATCTATACTAGTGAGCTTGTCCCTTCAGTCTGATCTCTGACTCCCTATCTTATCTGGTGGTCTCTCTGTACTTCCTGTTTCTAGTCTTTCTGCTCCTTTTGAGGACAGGCTATCACATTATGAATGCCCGAAGAACAGTTGCCCCCATCATTGGGGTGCTATTTGCATTGCCCTCTTTCAGAATGTCACCTCTCAAGCCATGCTCTCTCAACAGGTTCAGTGCCCAGGAAAAGTCATTATCCCCTTTGTCTTCTAGTCTATTGCTCCAGGGAAACAGGTGGCTGCTCATAGGGTCACCTCAAACAGCAAGCAGATGAGAACTACAGGCCCTGAGATGCTGGCTGGGAAAACTCCATGGTTAGAACTTTGGGGATGCCCATAATTCCCAGAGTCCCAGCTGTGGTGGGACAGTGTTTTCTGCAGTATAGTTAGTATTTGCCTCCTCAGATTCTGAGCCTTCCGGATCCTTCCAAAGGGTCTTCAAGCCCTCTTGTCCCTTACATTCTTGTTTTTTGTTCCTGAGACTCGGGACATGCAAAGCATGGACCAACACCCGTGGAGGGGAGGTGTGGAAATCATTTACTGTGAATCTCCCAGGAGAGGGTGGAATTTCTGATCAAAGTCAGAACAGAGCCGTCAGCAGTATTTACCCTCCCCCTTTTGAGTCCTGATGACTGACATTGTTCTGTTTTTATTACTGGCCCTCAGAAGCAATTGTTTAAGAAAAATATTGTCTAGACTTGAAATTGAGTGAGTATGACATTAATTATAGAGGCTTTCCTCCGAATGTCTCTTTGCCAGCTGTGTTCTCAATGTGGAAGCTGCTGGTGGCTCGCAGGGAGACGCAGACGATGGTGCAGCGGGAACGGCAGGCAAAGACCAGAAGGGCCTTGCATGGGTCCCGCCCTCTGCAGTGAAGGAGGCTTCCTCCCTCCGCCCACACAACACTGTCAACTTCACCCCATTTTCCTTGTTGGCAGCTAAGAAACCTGGGGTCCCACAAAGTTAGATGATGTGTTCAAGAAGACGCCAAGATAAGGTCACAGGGGGATGTAGCCGTGAAGCGTGCGTTAGTGCTTGCCACAGGCAGGCTCTTTAAGAAAAGGGTTCGTGCTGGAGGGATAGTTCAGTGTTTAAGAGCACCAGCTGCTCGTCCAGAGGTTCTGAATTCAAGTCCCAGCAACCACATGGTGGGTCACAGCCATTTATAGTGGGATCTGATGCCCTCTTCTGGCCTGCAGAGGTACATGCTGATAGAGTGCTCATACACTTAAATAGAAAAGGGTTTGCTTAATTAATAATTCATTTCTATAGAAGTTTTTTTTTATTTGTTAACTTTGTGTGTGTGTGTGAGTGTGTGAGTGTGTGTGTGTGTGTGTGTTGGGGATGCATTTGTAGAGGTCAGTGAAAATCTGCAGGATTTGGTTCTCTTCTATCACGTGGGCTTCAGGGATCAAACTCAAGTCTCCAGGACCTTTTTACCACTGAGCCTTCACATCAAGCCTATTAATAGGATTCTTAGTATGGCTGCTACCTTTTCCTTGTTACAATTTTACTTATTTCCTGTGCATGTGTGTACACACATGTGTGTGTGTGCATGTGTGTGGGCATGTGTGTGCATGTTTGCTCATGTGTATTTGTGTGTGTACATGTGCACATATTGCACACTAAAGCACTTGAGTGGCGGTCAGAGGACAAACTGGCTGTCAGCTCTTTATTTCCTCCGTGTGACCCTGGGGATCTCACTCATGCTCTCTGGTTTGGTGACAGGAACATTGACCCCGGCTGAGTCATCTCACTGGCCCCCTATGGCATTCTCAAGGCATTTGTTTTCAACTGTGACTCTCTACATCGCTCGGCTGTGTCAGCTATGGAGTGGTATATGATGACGGATGTCAAATGAGAGGCCAGGAGAGAAATGATTGTTTCTCATTTACATGAAGAACTATAAGCGAGACATTTTTAAATGGGCCAAAGCTTACATAATTTGGCACACCCTATTTGTGAAAGAAAAGAATCTACAATTATGACACAATTTGTCACAAAATGTTAATAATTTTTGAAGTGTGTCATAAAAAAACTCATAAAAACATGGTATTTTATTAATTAACATTTTGACATATTTAGTAATTCCAGTCTTTCCATATTTGTGGGCTGCCTATTTTGATATAGAAAAATAATGTAAAATTTTGTGCGGATTAGGAAATTTGATCTTATCTTTAGCGCTGTTACTTTATATTTTTAAAAATCTCATTTCATGTGTATGGGTGTTTTACCTCATGTGTGTATGTACACTACAAGCATTGCCTGAGGAGTAAAGAAAATGGTAACGGGTCCCCTAGATGTATGGATGTATGGACAGTTTTTGTTGACATTGGGGCAGCAGCGTTTTAGAGGAAGCAAGAGCTGAGTGACTTGTAAAATGGACAGTCATGGGGGTTTTGGGTGCAGATTTGTTTGTTTCTCATTTTGAAGTCAAACAGAAACAAACATACATGGTAGACATATGTCTTTTGGAGTCTACACATGGCCCTCCTCATTCAATATAGTTGGAATACTTGGCCACTCTGATTAGCTCTAATCCCCCCTAGAACTGATCCTTGGAATCAGGCCCACCACCTCTGCTCACGCCCATTCAGCACACATGTCCACATTACCTACGTCTTAATTTTCCAAGGTCAGAATATTAAAATGATTAAGGTAAAGCTATACTTACCTTCTGAAGCTTTAGATGAGAAACATATAACTTTTTTTTTTAAGCCTTGGAAGCTTAAAACTATTTCATCAAATCACTATGATGACTGTATACTTCTGCGTTAAAATTAGGAATACATTTTAGTATTACTTTCCCTCTCTTCTATTCTCTCTCATTTTAACCGAGTTATAAGAAAGGACTTGATTAAATAAAGTGGAAGGCATCATTCTATAATTGAAAGCATTTTCGGAGTTGGTTTCTCTTCGTGTATACTTTTTCTTTATTATATTACATTTCACTCCCCCAATTAGATGCTTAGCATCAGTAACAGATGCCTACACTCAATCTAATGTACACTGATGAGATCATGTCCAATATTAGCCTGAGAATCAGCTAATGCTCAACCTAAATTGAATGAAATATTTTATTTAACCCATCAGGAATGAGGAGTTCCAATCACCAGTTCTAGTAAGAACAGCAAATAACATTTCATTCATATTTATGTTACAGCATAAAGGGTGAGTTAGAGAATATTGTGACAGTGTGAATATGCAGTGTTCTCACAACCTCATGATTTGAATGTTTGGATCCCAGAGGGTGGCTCTTAAGGTATTTCTGGAACTCGGGTGTCACCCAGCCTCGGGAAGTGGGTCATTGAGGAATGTATCTTCCCTGAATCTCCCTGTCTCCTTCTTTGCTTCCTGTTCATCGAAACACTGAAGAACTGTCTTTCACCCACTTTTGTATATATGTACAAGGTCTCACTATGGAGTCTTGGCTGGACTGATATTGGTTATGTAGACCAGGTTGGCCTTGAACTCATGAAGACCCTCCACTTCTCTGTCTCCTTCATGCTTGTATTAAAGCTGTGCACCACCACGCCTGGCCCACTCTCTGTCTTCATGCCATAATATTTTACCCCAGTGCATGGCATCAGGTAACCACTGACTGAGGCCTCTGGAACTATGAAGAACATTGAGTCTCTCTGTAAG